AGGGCATCTCTAAGGAAGGACCTAAGAAGGAAGGACCTAAGAAGGAAGGACCTAAGAAGGAAGGACCTAAGAAGGAAGGAGCTAAGAAGGAAAATGGGTCAGACCCTCTGGAGGTTGGATCTCTATAACTTTTGTTTCACTCTTTAGTTTTATCTACAATAACTTTTTTTGTAATCAAGCTTGATCCAAATGAAGAAGTTCTGCAGCCTCAAGGTTCTTCTGAAAACAGTGTCCAGCCAATCAGGGAGTAGTTTCTGTTGTCGCCATGGTGACTAAGAACCAAATAAAGGGGGGGGGTGCTGTTTGGTTTTACCTAAAGAACGTGGAGGTTTCCACCCAGCAGGGGGCGCCATGCTGAGCCTGTCACCTGCAGAAGCTGTGTAAACATGTTATTGTGATCCTGTTGCTAAGCAGCTGCTCAGACAGTTTAAGGCGGTGTGTTTGTCATTCATTGGGCCGCCTTAAATAACAGCGACTGAATGACAAACGCTCTGCAGAGATTCACCTGTTCTCTGATAATTTACCTCTATGCTGCAAATCTACCAAGAGAAAATAGATTAAAAACCTAAAGATTAAAGTTAAACATCTGATTTTGCTAAATTAAATAAAAAAGGGTGAGTAAAGTTTGAGACTGTTTCCCTTTAAAATGTATTCTAATAAATCTTTGTAAAGGACAAAATAAATAAGTCCAGAAGAAGTTCTAAGATCTGCTTGAGCGAAACAATTATGCGTTTTTGGTCTTTCAAAATAAAAAGAGACGTTAATAAAGTTTTTGTCTTATTTCATCGTATTATCTTGATTTAGTTAAGAGTAGTTTCTCATTTTTGAAACAAACTAAAAATACTGATTGCAATAAATCAGATACCAGATCAAATAATATTTCAGTTTTAAATTAGTTATTTGTCTCATTTTCTATTTTATTTTACTTTCATGATTTTCTTTTATTTAAGAATCCTTGTCTTTATCAGTGATATGTGTCTTTTTCCATAATTTTAACTCCTTATTAAACTTTTTTTGTGTTTATTCCTTTGCATTAATTAAAGGTTTAATATTTTCAATAAAACTGAAACGCAATAAAAAGACTTATTGTTTTTTTTTTTCTTTTGGGAAAAACTTTTTTCATAAAGCATTATAAAATAATTGAAAAGAAAAATATTGCTAAAGCAAATAATTTTTATTTTGATAGAATTTTATGGCTTTACACTAAACTAAATGTTCCTTTTTCTCGTTTTTATTTTAATTAATTTTAAATAACATTTTCTTTTCTTTTGACTTGTTTTTTTCATTTCAGCTGTATGTCTTTTAGAAAATATTTAGCTGATATTTGCCTAATTTCAGTTTGAACTTTGTGGTTTTCTGCCCTATTTGTAATGTTTGCTTTTTTGGTTTATGGACTAAAACATTTTTTTCACAAATGAAATGTCTGTTTTTCATTTAAATATCCACTCAAGACTTTTGTTTCTTTTAATAATATGACCGACATCGGGGTCGGCCAGTTGTTTAATCTGATGGATTTTTGTTCAGATGTATTTATTTTTCTAAAGTATTTAGCAGTATTTTGTCAGAATATGCACAGATTTATAAACTGTTGTTGCTGTTTGGATGAGAACATTTATCTGGACTTTAAAGCAGATTATGCTTCCTATATTTTGCAGAACTTCCAGTAATTGTCTCATTAGTCAGGATTTTGAAAATCAAAGCTTCTGATTTTAGCAGCTGATGATGAAAGTTGTGTGGTCGCCGGCCGCCATCATCTCCTCTGGACTCGGTGAGGTTTCCAGGTGAACCCTCTGTGCTTTGGGACGGCGTTGACATGGACGCTAACGTTAGCTGTCAGAGAGGATCTGCGCCTGCTCTGCTTCATGATGAGGTGGAAGTCTGGACTAAAGTCCCTCCAGGTGGAGGCAGTTAGTTTGATCTTTCTCTGAGCTGTCATGTCTGCAGCTGTGAGGATGGAGACGCTGCTTCATGGACGATGGCCAATAGGCCTTCTCCTTTTTTATTCTTCTTAATTTGTCACATTCATTCCTTTTCCTCATTTCTTCTCTCAGACGGCCAGTCTAACCTGAGCCCCTCTCTGTCTGAGATCTTCCACATGATCAGCTCCTGTTTCCTCAATCATTCAGCTAGATCCAACTTCTAAAGGTTCTCTTCATCACTTCTTAATGAGCCGTGAAGCTGCGTACTGAAACCATGGATCCGACCGTCTGGATGAAGGAAAAGCAGCAAATCGCAGGACAGATGTCAGAACTAAACTAACATAAGCTGAGCCGTCTGATCCCAGACTGAAGTTTATCCTCTGATGATATCCAACATCATCTGCTCGCTGCCCTTCATTACATCATTTTATCTAATTCAGGTCAGGATAACATTCTGGATTTTAGGATCTGAAGGGCATTCCATGTTGCAGAAAGTGACCCTTATTAAAAAGGAGCCATTTCACATCTCATTGATCTGCTGCCACCTGCAGGCCAACAGCAGTAGAACAACATCCAGCAGAGTTCAGCTCTCTGCTTGTTTTGGGCTGAGGGTCCCAGTTTAACCTTTGTTTCTGCTGAATTAATCATCAGGGAAACTGTGATGGGTTTGGGTCTGCGTGTAACTGGCAGCCATGATTTTAAAATCTCTCTGGATTCATTCTGCAGATTTAGATTTCCTTCTGTTTATCTATTTCAGTTTAAAAAGCACATCATTTCAATCCTTTCACAGATTTCTAATCAGGTTTTAGCATCATTGGTTAAAATAAACATTAAATGTCTAAAGCAAAAACAGTTCTACAACTCAGGCAGCTAAAGTTGTCGAAAACTTGTTCTGGCAAATCAAATAAAATTATAAAAGTATTATTTTGATTTTAGGTAAAATGATTAATTCTCCCTCACTCTGTCCCACAGGAACGTTTTGTTCCCTAAATGTTTAGATCCAAGACTTTGGGTTTCCAGACTGCTGCCCGTTGAAAAACTGCTTTAAAGTTGGAGGTTTCATTTTTTTAAGTCATTTTTTCTGTATAAATTAATTACACTGACGATTTTATTTAAAATTAACAAGTTAACTTGATGGTGCATTTATTGCCATTATTCTATTTTAGTGCATTTCCTATTTTATTCAATATTTATGAAATACAAGATTAGAAGAAACAGCTTAGTTTCTTCTTTATATGCTAGGAGAAAACAAATTCAGTTTTAAATTTGAATCAATATTCAAACTGAATTGATTTTTAATGAGCCAAACCTCAAAACTCTGAAATATTTGAAAAAAAAAAAAAGGAATAAATTGTAGTGGACAACTCCCTACATGAGAAAGGAAATACCGAACCCATAGAGAGGCACGGTGGTGGCAGCATCATGCTATGTGCCTGTTTTATAGGCCAGAACGGTCGAGGGGAAGATAATTAATAAATGGGTACAAATATAGTTCTCTGTTGGGAGAAAACCTGCTAGAAATCTGAAGATGAGGAGGAGCTGTGATGACGCAAAGCGTACCCCCCCCCCAAAAAAAAAAACCAAACAAACATGTCTTCTTGTCTAGATGATTCATGTTGAAGCATTATTACCATCAAAAGGTGCTTCAGATAAATGTCCGTTTGAAGATATCTGCTCTGAAAAATCTTTTGTTTTCGTTTTTTACATGAATAGAATCTGTCTTTTAACAGGACTGTGTATACCTCTAACATCCTATGGCTTGCTCTACTGCCACCCTGTGGTCAGATGGAAACATTAACTTTATTACTAACCCAAACACCAACTCACTTTTGTCCAAATAGTTTAAGAAATTAAAACCCTTTAACCTTCAGACTGGGAAGTGGCAGCCAAGTGGTTTAGGGCGCTTGCTTCAGTTCCAGAGGTTCTGAGTTCCAGCCCCACTTCCACAGACTGCCACTCTGGGTCCCTGAGCAAGACCCTTGACCCCACACTGCTCCCTGGGCGCCACACAGTGGCAGCCCTCTGCTTCCCAATAAAATGCTGGAGAAAAAAAGACTTGTAACATGTTGTTCAGGCAGGAATTGAAAACAGAAGGTTTGATGACTCACCTATGGGGACCAGAACCCGGCGTTGGTCTGAGCTGTTAAACATCCGTCAGTCTGAGAAAACTCCACTGGGGAGGGAAGGTTTTTACTCCATCAGCCCGTTAAACAGACTGTTTTTCTTTTTGCAGAGGGAAGGTTTTTACTCCATCAGCCCGTTAAACAGACTGTTTTTCTTTTTGCAGATCTGCTCCGTGGTTCCTCCAGGCGCTGAGGGATCAGGAAGCTCCAACCATGAGTGACCTTCAGCTGGGTCAGGTATGGGGCGGGTCTCCTGGGGAGCTCTATGAAACGACTGATGTTTTCATCTAAAGATTAAAGTTTTCAAACACTATCACAGTTTGTCTTTTCTTTTTTTATGTATTTTAAAGCCAAGATGAAAGCTAAATTAAAATAAAGACAATTTCTCTCCTATTTTCTACTTTGTGGCAGATTTTGCATCTTCTTTTCTGTGCATTAACAATGAATTATTATTTAATTTGGGACAAAAATATAATACAATAGATTTATTTTAGGCTTTTAAAATTCTGGTCTGAGTTGACTGTTTTTAAACATAAATATTAATTTATCTATTAAATATATGATCTTACGAATGTTTTATTGTCAAAAGATTGCATGTTTTAGCTTTTTTGTGCTACTATACAGCATAAATATATTATTTTCCTTTTTTTCCTCTTCATTTCTAAAGTAATTTTATTTATATTTTTGATAAATTAAATCACAAAAACTTTGAATATTTCTTACTCTCTATATTTTACTTAAACTATATATTGTTTTCAGTACAATAACATCAGTTCTGGGAAAGCTTTAGCTCTCAAACATGTTTGAACATATCACCAAGCTGAGGATTATAATATTTTACTTTTTTTTCAACAAGAGGTTTAAAATTTTAATTAATCAGATTAATAATTAGCTGTTTATTGTATCTGAAGCGCGTCTGTGTGGATTTTAACAACATGGAGGCTTCCACAACATGGTGGTTTGGAGCCTCACTTATGTTCCTGCAGCAGACAACGCAGAAAAGTCTGGAAGGTTGCCATGGAAACTGCCTCTGCCACTAAGGCGCGGTGAGCCGCACTGACCGCAAGATGGCGCCGTTGGATCGGAAAAGCTAAATCAAGCCTGATAATTGAGTTTATTAGGCTTTAACCATATGGGGCAGTAAACCCTGCTTGTTGCCTTGCAGGCTGGGGTCAGATTTGGTCCCTTTTGAGGAGAATGTAAACCTTAAAGCTGCTCACTAATGTAAATAAAGTGCTACTGATCAGTTTTCCTGCAGGATGGAAGACCGTGTCGGGGGGGTGAGGTGGGGAGGGTCGTGTTTTCGTCCCGTGGCTCCAGCTGAAATCGTCCCCGCTGATGGCAGAGCAGACGCCGGTCTCCAGGCGCTCAGACGTCCGTCAGTTTGCCGCTGAAGGCTTTCTGCGGGCTGCAGTTGGTGTATTTGACGGAGTCCGCGTCCTCGCTGTCCGGGTAGTCGGACTTGGACAGGGACGGCCGGCTGTCCGTCCGTTTGAACTCACCGAACGGCTGCTGCTGCTGCTGCTGGCCGCAGGTCACGTGCGTGTACTGGAACTGCTCCTCGTGCTCCGTCTCCCGGTGGTAGAAGTAGTTGAAGTTGGACACGATGACCGGAACCGGCAGCGCGATGGTCAGCACGCCGGCGATGGCGCACAGGGAGCCCACGATCTTCCCCCCTATAGTCACCGGGCACATGTCTCCGTAACCCACCGTCGTCATGGAAACCACCGCCCACCAGAAGGCGTCCGGGATGCTGCTGAAGCCCGAATGCGGGTCATCGGTTTCTGCAAAGTACACGGCGCTGGAGAAGAGGATGACCCCGATGAAGAGGAAGAAGATGAGCAGCCCCAGCTCCCGCATGCTGGCCTGCAGCGTCTTCCCCAGGATCTGCAGCCCCTTGGAGTGCCTGGAGAGCTTAAAGATCCGGAAGACCCGGACCAGGCGGATGACCCGGAGGATGGCCAGGGACATGGCCTGCTGGCCGTTCCCCTGGTGCTCCGCCAGCTCCAGCCCCAGCGTGATGAAGTAGGGCATGATGGCCACGATGTCGATGGTGTTCATGATGTTCTTGAAGAAGGCGGGCTTGCTGGGGCAGGCTAGGAACCGGACCAGCAGCTCGAAGGAGAACCAGATGATGCAGAGCGTCTCCACGATGAAGAAAGGGTCCGTGAAGGGGTTCGGCTGGTCGGCGCGCGCGGTTCCATTGGACAGGATGAGCTCCTCAAAGACCCGGGCCTCCTCTCTGAACTCCGGTAAGGTCTCCAAGCAGAAGATGACGATGGAGATGAGGATGACCAGCACGGACACGATGGCGATGCCCCTGGCGGGTCCGGAACTTTCCGGGTACTCGAACAGGAGCCAGACCTGCCGCTGGAACTCGTTCTCCGGCAGCGGCCGCTCCTCCTCCTTGATGAAGCCCTCATCCTCCTTAAAGTTCTCGATCACCTCCTCCCCGAGCTCGTAGAATTTGATCTCCTCCATGAAGATGTCCACCGGCACGTTGACGGGTCTCCGGAGCCGACCCCCGGACTGGTAGTAGTAAAGGATCGCATCGAAGCTGGGTCGGTTCCGGTCGAAGAAGTACTCGTTCCGGAGCGGGTCGAAGAAGCGCATCCTCTTGCGCGGGTCCCCCAGCAGGGTGGACGGGAACTGGGCCAGAGTCTTCAGCTGCGTCTCGAAGCGCAGCCCGGAGATGTTGATGACCACCCGCTCGCAGCAGTCCTGGTTCTCGGCTCTCTCCGGGTCGTAGACATCCTGGGCGGACAGCGCGGCCAGCGCCACAGTCTCATCCAGGTTCTCCCCGGGCACCACTGTCATGGTTCCCCCCCAAGGAAAGGGCGACGCTTCCCGCCCCTCAGTCCTCCCTGACTCCCCTCCTCCTCCTCCTCCTCCTCCTCTGTGCGTCTCAGGACTCCAGCTGGGTGACTCCGTGGGTCTCCTTCTCGTCACGTCTGCGGGTGGGCTGCTGGTGCCCCCCGCCCCCTCCCCGCTTCACCTTTCCCGTCCAGGCGCTGCTGTAGTCTGGACTGTGGGCACGTCTCTCACATTCGCTGCATTTTAAGCAGGCTTTGCCCTCCCCGAGCTGACGTTCGTGCACGCTCTCTCACTGAGGGGGGGACTAAAAAAAAAAAAAAAACACACATGCAAGCACATATGCTCAGGATGAATCAGATCCAGCTATTTTATGGGGATAAATTAATCGTTTATGGAGGAAAAACATATTTTTTTAGAGAGAGAGTCGTGCGTAATGAACCTGTTGTCTCAGCGTGGCACAGGCTCAAGGTTATCACATGGGCAGGTGTTTACCAAAATAAAGAGCAAAAAATAAGCAATAAAATGGATGAAAAAATGAAGCAGGTTTCAATAAAGAGAATAGATTTTGTGCAGATCGCCAGCCCCCTGCAGAGATCCTCAGAAATGTCATAAATGAATACCTGTGGCTCAGTGCGTCATCTGCCTCCATGCATCCCTCTTTAAAGCACAGCGGGCTCTGCAATGTCACGCTGCCAGCCGCTCCAAGACCAAACCTGCTGACGTTTCCCTCAAGCCGCCGCTTCATGTGTGCGCCGCTGCAGGCGCGCGGCTCCGCGCGTGAGAACGAGGAACAACACAGCTGTGCAACAAGTTCAGAGAGAGAGAGAAGAAAGGGAGCTGGGTGATGGAAAGAAGTTTCTGGGCTGCAACTCTAACCGCTGACGTGATGTCCGAAAATAACTGGATTTCTCTCAGGGATGCAGGAAAACTTTCTTTTCCCATGGAATGACCCCAGGGAGGGAGGGAGGGAGGGAGGGAGGAGCGACCCCCCCACCTCAGCCAGAAACACAGCAAGTCATTCAGAAAATAAAAGGTGAAGGAAGGAGAGCAGGAATGAACAGACCGCCACTGATGATGAACTGGGATGTCTCTAACTGATGAAAAGTTTTCACACCCAAAGACATTTCCACGTCTTTCCTTCAACGTTCACTTAATTTAATGTTTTATCAAGTCTGGAGAAAACAATATAAGAGCTTAATAAATATAACATTTCTGAGCTTTATTCAATATAATCCTTTCTTGCCTGCTTGCTTCCTTCCTTTCTTCCTTGCCTGCTTGCTTCCTTCCTTTCTTACTTGCTTGCTTCCTTCCTTTCTTACTTGCTTGCTTCCTTCCTTTCTTTCTTACTTGCTTGCTTCCTTCCTTTCTTA